TTGCTTTTTTGTTATTTAATGTTATTCAGGGTTATATCTGGTCTATATACCAGCTTTGATAAGTGTTTGGTATAACTATAAATTTTCACTTCGTACTATGAACATCAAAATTATTTATTTTGTAAAAATATTTCCTTTCTCCATTGGTACTATATACACGTATACCTAACAACAAAATTATTTTCATTTACCTGTGTTTAAAGTTAGTGCAAATAGCTGATATTTTTGTTCGAGCATATTGTTTTTCTTTAATTGTTTAACATTTCTTACCGATATAACATGTTACTTTTATTATTCTTCCCTTAGTTTATTTATTTTGTATTTACATTGTGTCATAGGTCAAATTTATTTGTTCAGTGTATGTTCAATGGTGTTAATATGTCCTTTGATTGAGTTAAGCTATTTCAGTTGATATTTTATAGTGTGTCTTTCTATGTTGTGATGTTACACTTTTGTTTCGGAAAAAGGGTGAAGGTTTGGTACCATTAAAACGTTTAAACCCGCTGCATTTGTTTGCACCTGTCCTAAGTCAGGAATCTGATGTTCAGTAGTTGTCGTTTGTTGATGTGGTTCATAAGTTTTTCTCGTTTCTCGTTTTTTATATAGATTAGACCGTTGGTTTTCCCGTTTGAATGGTTTTACACTAGTAATTTTTGGGGCCCTTTATAGCTTACTGTTCGGTGTGAGCCAAGGCTCCGTGTTGAAGACCGTACTGTGACCTATAATGGTTTACTTTTATAAATTTTGACTTGGATGGAGAGTTGTCTCAATGGCACTCATACCACATCTTCTTATATCTATTGATCTGTGTTTTGTGGTAATAAGCATTGTGTATAAGTTTCATAACATTTGGTTGAGGCAAACTAAAGTTAGAGAACGGAAACGAAAAATTCAGCAATTTTTCCATTTGTAAAGGGGCATAACTCTAGAATGGTAAAAGTGACGCCACCAAAATTCAAACTTGATCTGTGTTTTGTGGTAATAAGCGTTGTATAAGTTTCATAACATTTGGTTGAGGCAAACTAAAGTTAGAGAACGGAAACCAATTTTGGGACGTACGTACGTACGTTCAGACGGACAAGGGTAAAACTTAATGCCCCCTCCGCTACGGCGTTGGCATAAAAAATAATTTGCATCTCAGTCCGACATTAGTCCTTCAACTCATGCAGACAACACAGCTTGGGCATATTTTTAATTATTCAAAAGGTCCCAACAAGACAAAATATGAAACAATTATCAAGTAAGTGGGATAATATAAAAATAAGGACAGTTGGTATGATTGCCAATGAGACAACTATCAACCATATTTCAAATTACGAAGATAAACGCAATTAAGGGTCACCGCACGGCCTTCACCAAAAAAAAAAGCCTCACTGTTTAGTCAGTTTTAAAAAGCCCCGACATGAAAATGTGAACAATTCAATCAAGAAAACTATCGGCCTACTATATAGGCATTATATGAACACAAAACCATACCCAAATTAACTCGGGTCAGCTTAGAACTACTCTGAACATGTTCAAAAAGGTGTATATTTAGAGCTGTTTCGAGCAAATTCATGTCGTAATTGTCTCAATAAAGTCCATTACGGTGTAGTTTGACATTTCATAGGAAGTACAGCAGTCGGTATTAGATCATGAAATTGCATGATTTTGTATCAATAGATAAGTTGCCTAAGTTTATTTGTCTTCAGGGTATTTTTATACCCCCGCAAATGAAAGTTGGGTGGCGTATTGTTTTACACCTGTCCGTCTGTCCGTCCGTCATTCCGTTTATAATACGGGGCTTATAACTGTGTCTTTTAAACTGACAGTTCTTTTGCATACACATATGTATTCCACTGGGTTAAATTCTAAAAATGCCGTTAAACTTTTTAATGTACTTATTCAAAGTCAGGTGCAGTATGAGGCGTTGTCTTTAATCATGTTATTTTGTCATTTTGTTGATAGTCTGTTAAATTTATTTGCACAATTCTCCATACAGTTTTCCAAATGGTGTAGATATTATATATAGATCAAGACAGTACGTTGATATCTAAATTACATTTAATTACTTATTGGTCTTTTTGTTTAGTTGGGTTTCTGTCTCATCGACGTATCATTATTTGCATATCTGTTATTCATTTCCTATATGAAATAAAACATATACAAGAGTATGAATGTGGATTTAATTTTTTTTCTTCACATTTCAAGTTAATACTATTGACCTCAATATTAATGAATGAATATAACAATTTTCATGATATGGCCGATTTTCTTGGCAGGTACTTTTTTTTCAAATTCGCGCAACCGGATTTGTGACGTCACTGGATTTTCCGCAAATGTGACTTCATTTAAAACGACGTCGCGAAATGTAATCGTTCTTATTAGAAACTTCGCGAAATTACAACGTTCTGATTAACAACGTCGCGAAAACAACACGAACAGTTTTGAAAATGTTATTATCTGCCCCTGCTACTGTATCGTATTCCCTTAAATTTAAGCTCCTTTTTCTAAAAAATCAATTAAATTAGAAGTTATAAATTTAGTTAACCCTTATTACTTTTTATGACTTGAGTTATACTAGAAAAACGTGCTCGTCTTATTCACTCGAGCCATATTCACACATAGTATCGCTTGATTGGTTCCTTTATTTTCTTACTGTGTCCCCTTCAACCTGTATTAGCCTGGGGTCCTGGCTCACTAATTGCTAACGCTTACAGTATATCGACGAAGTATAGGCTAAACCTGTATGTGAGAGAAAGTGTATCCTGTGACATCTTATTAATTAGACAACACTTTACAAAGTAGTTTGTGCTTTGTAATTACGCTGGTGATGAAGTTCTGCTACTTTAGCACTAATATATCAACCTATTTTCATAACTTGCATCGCCTGTTCCCACGAAAGACAAGGTCCTCCTGACCTCTTAATATTGAACGAACCTTTTATTTTGGCTCTCTAATGTAAATATACATACTTTTTTTAGAAATATTCCCTTGTCGGACTAATGAGGCGTCGAACTATTGGGGTGTCGGACCAATGTGGTGTCGGACTATTGGGGTGTTGTACCAATGGGGTGTCGGACTATTGGGGTGTCGGAATATCGGGCTGCCCCATCTTACGGACTACATTTGCAAAGACACTTTATACAACTTGCCTGACAACAAAGTATTTTAATTCAGTGGATTTTCTTTGTCTAACCATGACAAAAGAGAAAGTTGCATTGTATAGAAAGAATACAAAACTGTTTTACATTGTAAATTTACTGACGCTGTGATGTGCGTATTGCACTAATTATGTTTAGTATGTCCACTCTTTTCTTGCTGTACATATGTTCATACTCCTACTGTATTGTACATTTTATTGTTTTCTGTAGGTCTCCTGGTATGTGGACCAGAAAAGCTGAAACAACATCTCATCAAGTAGCTAGGGCATAAACTATCACCTGTCCTATGCCTTATAAACCTCAAATCAGTAGACACTGGCGATGTGCCAAATGATGATCAATGATAGGCAAACTGTGTAGGATTACAAGAAAGAGTTCAAAAATAATCAAGATAATTATACACCTATGTCTTTGACATTCATATGCTGCAAGATTATGGAACGAATTGTAGTTGGTGCATCCTGACACTGGCAACCACAACATCATCTATCAACTCCATAACGGTTTTTTAAAAAAGTAAATCTTGTGAAACTGGACTCTTTGAATTCATAACTGATGTTACTAAAACATTGATGATTGATTGATTGATTGGTGTTTAACGCCACTTTCAACAATATTGTGCTATTTCGTGGCGGTCAGTTTTTATTGGTGGAGGGAGTCGGAGTGCCCGGAGAGAACCACGACCTTCGGTAGGAAAACTGACAATCCTAGTCAATTAAGATTGGAGTCGAGTGCACCTGCCCCGTGCGAGATTCAAACTCACAACCTCAGTGTTGACTGACTAGTGATATAGAAGTTGGACTACTTAGACCACTTGCCCACAGAGGCCCACTAAAACATTGAAATCTCAAAACCAAGCAAATGTATTTATAAGGGCTTTTGTTTCTAAGGCTTCAATCATGTGTCAATAAGGTCCATGATACTGCACTCATTATCTAAAAACGTGATTACTATGGGAAATAGGGTAAAAGTAATAACATATATACAAGGCTTCTTAACATATTACATACCCAAGCAGTTATCACATTAACCCCACCACATTCTATATGCCTGTCCAAGTCAGGAGCCTGTAGTTCAGTGATTGTTGTTGGTTCATTTCTGTCATATTTTTTTTTCTTTTTGTAAATTGTTTTGTTATAAATTAGGCCGTTAGTTTTTTCAATTGAATTGTTTCATATTTTTCATATCAGTAGGCAACTATACAGTATGGGTTTTTCTCATTGTTTAAGTCTGTACCGTTGCCTATAATTGCTTACATCCATTTCATTTGAACTTTCGTGGATAGTTGGCAATCATACCACATTTCCTCATTTGTATATCATATATAGAGGGTGGATTAAGGAAGTTAGGAGTGCCAACAGTTCTGTTCTGCAAACAAGTCTTGTTTTCATTTTACATAAATGCCATACAAATTGGCTTAAATAAATTTCAAAGTGAAGAACAGTAATAAAATTATTATTTATTGCTTTACAGTCATCTCTCAGTATAACCATTTTCCCAATTATATTTTATTTTTAGCACAGGGACCTTGATCTTTCACCTGTTTACCAAAGAATCAATAAGCTTCTCATTCCATCCATCTGTATAAGTTTCATTCCAATCATTCAAGGGAAACTCAAGCTACCATCTGAAAACCTTTATAATGTTTGTTTCTATTTACAGTAACACTAACCTTTGACCTATTGACTCTAAAATAAATAGGCTTCTTCCCCTTTCCCTATATCTTCCATATGTATCACTTTCATGCCACTGAAACCAATTTTTTTTCAGACACTTGGAAGACTGGAATGATGGACAAAGTGATTATTTTATACCTTTGGAAATTTTTGAAGAGCATAATAAGAATAATAAGATAAATTGATTTATTTGAGATGTTTATTACAACACCATTAGACAGAACAAAATACTGGTAAATGATAGAACACACAAACATTTAAAAAACAAAAATCTACAACTATTAAAAACAACAGAATGTTTCCATATAGGAATGTCATCAGGTATATAGAATTGTAAGTTCACTTTTACTAAGCACTTGAAAACTGAGACTTCTATTTGTGATCATGTAAATTTCAAAATATATGTATACATATAAAAAAAAAATTGCTGAAAGCTGTTTCATTAAAGTCTTGTAAAAGAAAAGGGGAAGTATCCGTTGAAAAGCTATTGAGGGTAAACGTATCAATACAAACAGAATTTTTTACAGACTAAATTCTTAAAGGCGAGACAAAAAATCCTACAAAACATAACATTTTTACGACTATTTAGTTTTTCAAGCATAATATACCAAAAATTCACAGAAATCATTGAAGATTATTTTCAAACTTTTATGCTGCTGCAAGCCTTTCATTTTTGCTTCTAAATAGCCTAAATTGGTTGTTCACAAAACTGTGAAGTCCATTATTATAAACTTTGGGTCCACATGTACCAAATGAAACAGCCTAAGGTAAAAATAATTGTCAATATTCAAACCACAGAATGCCAATTCCAGATTGGTTCCTTTACATACATATAAATTACAAATTGAATACTGATATCGACAAGACATTTTGATTTGTTTCTTGATGTTATTTCTCAAAATCCTTCAAACAACATTTAGGTTAATGGTCCATCCCCTATCAAAAAGTGCTGTCAGAACACATGTGTGACAATTTTCCATAGCCAATATCCACAAACCCCAAAAAAAACAACTGAACATTTAATTGCTTGATTTTTTCCACTTAAACTTACTTGCTATTAAGTTAAAACTAATAAAACATATAGTTTTATATAAATTTAAATAATGGAATGTGTGAAATAAATTTTTCAAAAATTCTATCAAACAAGGAATGCAATAGTTTTAACTACATTATCAAAATTCTAAATGTAAATTGAATCAAAAACTATACCAATCTAGTTAAATATTGAGTTGGAAGCCAGCAATTCATTTAAAACTCAAAAAATGTATACAATATAAAAACAAATATAATATTTCACAAATTCTTATCTTTTTCTCAAAAAAGAGAAAAAGAAAATTGATAGTATGTACAAATTGATAAGTAAAAATAAATAAATTAGTAATACAACAATAACTGATATTTCACAATTAAAATATTCAAGCCTTTATTAATAAAAACAGAAACATACCGACATCAGCAACATAGCTACTGACAACAGTTCTCCATTTTTTCATTTAAGAAATCGAGATATTGTTAATATGATTTTAATAAATATCCAATGTTTTTTATTTCCATATTGTTTTGTTTTATCAATCACCTGTAGGTGGTATGTTGCTATTTCTATTACTTAACGACTTGAACATAAAGACTAGTATCATTTACTTAAAGATTGCCACAAAGCAAACACTATAAAGCATCTACTATAAACTTCTATTCAAAGAGCAATAACTCTTACTCAAAACAGTTTTACAATTATATATGCAGAATCTGACTAATAAAGTAAGCAAATATTTTCAATTTAACATATTCTGAAAATGTCAATCATTTTTTCAAAACAATGCTGCCTTCAATCTTTTCCATATGTCTCAAAGAGTCATTATAATTTAATATTTAGCTTGAAGATAAATGTCTCAAATCTTTTCTTTTTTTTTCAGATATGTAAAAAATTTGTAATGATATGACTAGTCATTTGAATAATCTGCCCTTTGAATACTCGCTATAACATAATCTGGTCAAAATAAATAGAGAAATCAATTTATTTACAAAATACTAGATAGATATTCTAAAAATATACAATTGTACATTACTAATGATTTTTTTCCTTTCATTCAAAATTGCATGAAATTTTTCGTAGAGAAACATACCACAATACATGTATTCATGGTGATTTTCAAAATCAAATACATTTATTTTTTTACTTTTTTTGAATGTCAAAGAAAATCATTAATAATCAGTTGATAATCAAAATATATGATTTATACAGATGTGTCCTCCCTGATTAAACATAAAAACAATAAAATTCTATATACATGATTATCACAGGTTTCTTCTAAATAAAAAAGACAATAATTTCCTTTCAAAGCACTGTAACTAAATCCAGCTATAAGTCCATTCCATTTTCAATCACTTTAAAGGAAATTTAAACTCATTTCTAGTAAAAACATGAGCAAAAATATATATGTATATATATATATACATAGTCATGGTATAAATAAACTTTAAGAAAAATATCTTGAACACAAACAGTCATCATGTGATTGAGGAAAGCCAAGACAGGACCACATAGAGATAATCAAATATGGTCATACTCTAAAATTAAGCATCTACAAGTATTTTCTAATGATACAAAATAGTTTTGATGTTAACTACCGCTAAATATTACTTGGACAAGTCATCCAACGGTCTATCATATCATATTTCTACAGCATTTATAACTCATTATAATTTCTAGTTCATAACCATAAATCCACAGAATAAATATATAAAGTTAAAAATAAAAGTTCAAAGGTCACTCTTGATCCTACAGATATGATGTTGTGCAATGTACAGCTACTAAACAAGGTTAACAGTCAAGAATTCATTCCGTAAACAAATCTAATTTGAATTGTCAATATGAGGCACTCTATCGCACTTGAAAAATGAGAGAAAGACAAAAAAGACAGTGAAGCTGCTACTCAAATCAAGTTCTCAGGATAGAAACACAAAAGAGACAGTTTAGCTACTACTCATATCAAATCTTGTATCTTAAGAAACTGAATCAGGTAACATTATGTTAAGTGAGTGATGGAATATTCAGCCGATCTACATGCCAAGTAACTGTGTAGCAGAATCTACGGAGTCTAACATCTTGTCAATAGATGATACATCGACACCGAGTAGGTTATGTAACATGTCGGCTGTGGAATCTTTTCCTAGAGACGGGGTTGAGATCGTAGCAGATGGTGTCGTTGATTTGGAGGTGATGACTTGTGGTAGGGTATAATGTCCACGAGATTCCTGAAATGTTAAATAAGAATTGTTTAAGAAACAATTAGGCTTATACCCCTTTTAATTAGATATTTGTAACGTAACTAATGGATTTTCATTTCTATATTTTCCCATTTTTCTAGGCATTAGAAAATATTTAATCTTCTACTGCAATAATAATATTGATATCTTACATACTGTAGATTCATGTTTTATTGTGGTAACCAACTTTTGTTGATTGATAAACAATGTTATTTTTTTTATGGACACTTGATTTTGTAGTTCAGAGATAATCTTGGATACAAGTGTATAAGAAATTTGTATTTCATCAAGCTCTTTAATTTTGTGGTTCATCAATACCAAAAAAATCTAGGAAAATGAGTATTAAATGAATACAAGTCTAAGGTCGTAAATGAACCTGAAATCAACATCACAATACCAAATAGGTCACGGATGAAAGATCTAAAGTTTATACTTTTGTTTGGCTTATTAAAGGATTTTAAAACTGACAACCTCAATTATGACACAAGCCAATTTATAAATGAGCTTCAATAAAATAAATTCAAGTTATATCAATAATTACCCCAACACTTTCACCTCCATTTAAACTGGTTCCAAGAGATATGGAAGGCATTACAGGCATGCTCATGGCAGGAATAGCCATAGGTAGGCGAGGTAGTATTGGGCGATGGGCTGCCTTATGTGCCGACTGTTCTTCGTTGTTGTTTTCAGCTTCGTCATCGCTTGGACTGAGAGATCCAGAATCGGCATGTTTCTTACGATGTCTCATCATGCTGTGTTTCAATGTAAATCTTTTCTGACAGATGTCACATTCAAACGGTCTTTCTCCTGCAATTAAGTATAATTATTCCAATTAAATTACATTTAAATTGTTAATTGCAACATTTTAGGAATGTCTACGGTATTAATTGTAATTTTCTTATGCAAAAACCATGAAATTTTGTGAAAATTCATGCTTAAATACACACAAATACTAACTTGAAGACACTTGTATGGCTTGAACAGGGAAAAAGTCAATAAATTTCATCATACATGTATGTACAATGGTAGATTTAGCCCAATACAAATACTGACATTTATATATTTTACATGATTTTAATACCTTTTATCTTTTTAAATCACAGTGATGATTTGTTAAAAAAAGTTCCAAAGGCTTTTCACCAGCTAACCATGCACAACAAATATTATCTACCCGTTGTATTATAATATACTAACCTGTATGAGATCTCATGTGTCTCCTCAGGTCTTGTAGAGACCAGAATCTCTTAGGACAAAGAGAACAGTACACTTTACGCTGCATATAATCAGCAGACACGACCTCCATCTTTGGATCATCAGCATTCTGTCCTGGAATCTCCAATACAACGTCCTGATCCACTTTGTTGAGATTATTTTCCACAACTTTATCCATGTGTTTTGAAAAATCCCCAATTTCATCTACTTTATTTTTGTCCTTCAAGATCAACCAATCAGAATTGTGATTTCTCTCCTGATGAAACAGACATTCCTTCCTACTGAAGTATGAGGCATCACATAAGTAGCATTTGAACGGAAGATCAATATTGTGTTCCTTCAAGTGACGAACTAATAATTTACGGGAGACAAATTTCTCACAACATTTCCAGCATTCTGTGATCTTGTCAACATTGTAGTTGTCACGTTCTGGGTTGAGTTGTTTCTCGCCAGTACCACTGAATGGTCGGACATCTTCTGTACGTTGAACTTCAGGAGTCTCGTCAATCTCTAGGTCATCTTCATCCGGTTCAGATCTACCACTGGACATCAGTCTGTCCTCGAGTACCTCTCTATCCTATAACAGATAATTGAAAACAAATTTACCACAGTGATTACATTTGAATTCTAATGAAATTCACATGACTACCTTAAACTAAGCCTGTGCTAGCAAAATGATGACAAATTCAACAATATTAATTTTAATTTCCTATGTTGATTTTTTCTATCCAACAAAAGTTTAGAAATTTAGAAACATGTAGCTGCAGTCTAATTTTTACAGTTGTAGAAAAAGATGGTAATATTATATACTGTGAACCAACCTATTTTGGCAGATACTTTTTTTCAGGTTAAGCCTTTTCAGCAGATTTCCCCAAGACTTGTGTTTCGTTTTTTTCTAACTTGTGTTTCATGTATTCATATAAGAGAAGATTAAAGTTTCACATATTCGCAATTATTCATATTCACTTCATTTTTCTTCTTGTGAAAGTCACAAAAATGAATTGGTTTACAGTATTCCTGACCAATATCTGCCACTTGTTTCTACTTACCAAAGACTTATTCATCTGTTCCTCGGCTAAGTAGCTACTATCATTACTGTCGTAGAAACTACCATTGGGTCCTAGTCCCCTCTCTTCTGGAGGTATTGTTTTACTCATACCGATCGTCACAACTCGGTCTAATTCAGCTAGGCCTTCAGGTAGTGAACTGTTTGGATGTCTTTCCTTATAATGCTTCAATAGATTGCCTGTAACGAGTAGAAGAAAATGATTTTTATCCTTAACAAACAATATGTAAAACATTAAACTGCAACAAGATATAAAAGTATCTTTATATAACTTACTAATAATATAACAAACTTTTTACCATATCATATGAAGACTTCCAAGATTATTGTAATTCATTAAATATGTTGGAGACAAAGGTGATGTCAAATTGTTTGGATGTGGAAAATAATGACTAATTAGTGTACGTTTCTTATGAATACCATTTTGACTGTTTAGTTGTCTTTGTGTATTCTTATATATATACAGGTTTAGCATACATATGTTTGATATTGTATTTTCTTAAAAACTCTGAATTCTTGTAATTTGATTTTCTATATTTTGTCATTTGTAGAAAAAATTTTGGTTAACTCTGCTTATTGTAAGAAAAATGTGTAAAAACAATTGAACAGTATATGTGTTTACCTTGTGTAGAGAATGAGCTGAATACACATAAATGACATTTGTATGGACGGTCCATAGTTTGACGAGACAGAGGGTCCAACATATTTACACCATGTTTTCTTATCAGATGTCTCTCTCGGTTAGACTTGGTCGAGAATGTAACTGGACATCTTGGACATTTAAATGGTTTCTGACCTGTAAACATTTGAATAAATTAGCAAATGGTTTAAAAATACAAATAAATGATCTTTTCTTTCTTTGTAAAAAGTCAACTCCTTTAGTTAGCTATCTATATAATTATTTAAATATGTCTACAAGCAGAAATTTCAATTTATGCTTGATCTCAGAGTTATTAGTTATTCAAAACAAATGTCATCTTACGCGTCTCTTTTTTATTTCCAATTTAAGTTCTTATCAAGACAAAAAAAAAAAACTATCAAAAGACAAATTAAATAACAATAACCAAATCTTACTAACCAGTATGTGTAAGGAGATGTCTTGTAAGGGAGCTAACCCATGGGAATGTTCTTGTACAATATGGGCACTGCAGTTTATGTGGAGAATCGGCATAAGAATTCCTTTTCTTTTTGATTGCACTTGTCTGTTTATCATCCATTTTCTTATCAACAGTAGTAGGAATATTGAACTGATGTTGTAAGGCTCTTTGTTTCTCTAATCTGGCAAAGTGTTCAAGCTAAACGATAATAAAAAAGAAAATGATAAAAGCATTTATTTAAGGTATATAATAATGCTATTACTATTAAAAGTAAATAATATAATTTAAGATTCATTTTTTTTCAATTCAGTAAAAAGCAATTCAATGTCAAATGTCTACTTATTACCATATTAAATATATTCAACAACAAAAAAGAAAACAAGTTAAATTGCATATGAAATGTACAAACAACTTGAAAAATATTTAATACATGTTAAACAAGCAAATTAATACATAAACTAAAATCAGTATTTCACTGAAAAAAGTAATTCTATCTCAAAGAAAGGTAGAAGCACCAACTGAAGAAGAATTTAATGAAACTTTTTCACCAACAGAGAAAGTTTCATTTAAATCTGATAAGGGGTTTAGGAAGAAGTTAATATAAATGTGTCCTGATATGACAAAATCCATGTCATGCCAAAGTAAACAACAACAATCATTCAAATGATGAAATGAGATTTGAGGTGCAAAAGAGCATCATCTGAGTAAGATTATTTGAAAATTTCAAAAAATTCTGTCCAGTGGTTCGGGAAACTAAAGTGGGAAAGGGACGACCAGATAGAAACTCCAATCTCTATATACCCCAGCTTAAAAAAGCATGGAGTGTAATAAACATCTAGAATACACATGACTTGTACCTGTTTTGGGAGATCACCAATATCCATCATCAAAGGCATTTCCTGACTGTCTCTGCTATCAGATGGGTCCTCTGGTCTTGATCTAGCGGGTGATTCATTACTGTCAGGTCTAGATTCTGACGTTCTTTCCTCTCGGCTCCTATCTGGATTGACACTTCTCAACAGGTTCAAACGGCTTCTCATTAATTCATTAGTAATACTGCCACTTTCACGTAACAAAAATGACTGGAAATGGTGGGAGTTTGCTGATTCTAAAATTCTATTCACTGATGCTAAGTCACTACTGTCACCTAGAAGAAAAATATTCCTGCATATAAATTTCAGAATACATCATTGTATTTTTTTTTCACATATCTACGTTTTACAATTGTTATGCTTATAATCAAACTTTTTTGAATAATAAATTATAAATACATTTTTCATATTAAAAACCTCATTGAGTTTAAAAATAAATATACCAGAGAACTTTTTTCTTCAATTTTACATGTAATATCCAAGTTTTATTATATCAAAATTGAATTATATATAAAGTATCATTATCTTGTACAATGACGAAACTACAGTAGCAAAGAAAAAAATGGGTTTTAAATAAATGACATATGTCTAAAACTCATAAAACTGAAAAATGCACACACACAAAATAAATATAAAATTAAAATAATATTAAAAAATCAGGAGTTATCTCCCCTAGACTGTAATGAACAGAACTAAAAAATATAATTTCACAAACACAAAGTAAATCATTCAAATAGTTACTACTTTTACTTACACACATATCCTAACACTGTAAAGCTATAGGTTTTAAAGAAATATAATCAGTAACTTGATTTCATGAATATTATTGTCTTACAAAAAAACACTTGTGGACACTTTCCAAATTAGTTTTATTGTTTCTTTGAATGGTTTGTTAATCTGAGATTTATTTAATGTTAAGTAATAAAATATTTGCTGTATCAATGTAAAGGTTCTTTGCTCAAGTTTTATTACTTAATTTTAATAGGTACAGATAATATAGAAGATAATACTCGCTTTGCCTCATCCAACATTTTTTTCTTTTCTATGTTTTTTTTCTATGAGAAGGACTTACCTGATATACTAGATCTTGGTTCTGTTTTTATCTGTTTCTCCATCCTCATGGCCTGCAGATTATTTATCTTATCCATTAATTTGGATGACCTGGATGAGGTTTCATTATCTTCTAAATTCTCTGATGGTGGTTGTACTGGGAGACGTAAATTAACAGTTTGTTTTAACTTTTCTGTTACTGTTGGGTTTATTCCAGAAAGTGATTTGAGGTACGAAGGATCTAACAATGATGTTAGCTGTGGATGGTTTTGCCAAAGATGGCGCTCTAAAGCGCGGGGATTTGAAAATCCCATTGGACAAAATTGGCACTGGTGAACACTATTTTCATACATTACTCTGGTCTGTTGTAACAGATTTGCCTGAAAAAGTAAAAATAAATTAGTATTACATGCGCATACTGAAATATGTTAACTAATATTATCTCACATTGAACCATTGATATAATTTATAAAAGATTTCTGAAATAAGTAAGTCTTATACCTAAAAACCACATAAATTAAAAGTGCAAATGTGCAAATGCTTTTCCTTTTCAGCTTTAATTAGAAATATGCAACAGCTTTAATTTAAAATGTGCAACATCTTGAATTACAAATGTGTAACATCTTTAATTGGAAATGTGCAACAGCATTAATTACAAATGTGCAACATCTTTAATTACAAATATGCAACAGCATTAATTACAAATGTGCAACAGCTAGCACATCAATTTTAGAATTTTTACCATGTTCAACTTAAAAATCTATGAAAACAGTAATATTTAGAAAACATTACCTTTAGTATAGGTGCTGGTGATGGCGATGGTGATTTCTTAACTGACAAGTCCATAGGTTGATCAGTCCCTCTACCTGTAGGTTGGTCTTTCTTAGGTGTCCCTACAGGAGTATTACTGCCAGACCTAACACTGAAATCTAACGGCATAATGTCATCTTCATCAACTGGTTCAGATTTAATATGGACGGGTGTGTCTGGACGGCTGCTAGCTGGAGTGCCAACAGACAATACTGGGGTTGTATGAGCAGCAGGTGGCACATGTGATTTACCACTGATGATAGAAGAAGGAGTAGATCTTTCATTTATATCTGGTGGCATACCATCATCAGAATCTCCAAATGACTTGTCACTATCGTCAATATTGAACGGCTCCTTTACAGTGATATACTGTTCTATCTGGTTGTTAGAGATTTCTATATGTTGTTTCTGAAGATGACGAATACAGTTAGCCTTAGTCGAAAATCCAACATCACAACGGGTACAAATGAATGGCTTCTGGCGGCAACTACTATGTGATCTAAGATGATGTTTCAGCGCACGGAAGAACTTGAAATCGATGTTGCAATATTTGCATACTGTATCAGGTGAGTGGAAGGATGTGGAAGAATTCCCATCGTCAACAGCATATTTATTGTAGCCAATCGCTTGTTCAACATCATCCTTCATGAATTTACCATGCTTCTTCCTGCAAAAAATAATTATACCATTAGAAAAAATTCAATTTCATTTCATTATTTAGAAGAAATTGAATTTAATTTCATTATGTAGAAAAAATTCAATTTAATTTCATTATTTAGAAAAAATTCAATTTCATTTCATTATTTAGAAAAAAATCAATTTAATTTCATTCTTTAGAATAAATTCAATTTAATTTCAATATTTAAAAAAAAATCAAGTTAATTTCAATTTTAAGAAAAAATTCAATTTAATTTCATTATTTAGAAAAATTTGATAACAACATATTGATTGATTGATGTTTGCTTTACAGTGCCTCAGCACAAAGAGGCTATAGAGCAGTGATAACAATATCATATGACATACAACTCTTTATACATAATCAAGTTGTCTGAGAATCTTTAAGTGAAAAGACAACAAATATCGTAGAATTGTCTCCCCTGGACCAGGCACATTGTGTAGGTTGTGCAAACAGGAAATAAGTAAACATGTACATTATCATGTTAATGCATAAATTTTCTGCATTTATGAGGCATTAATGTATCAATAAACCTCAGCGACAATATATTTCTTGCACTTGCTGTAGAAGGCCTGTAACAGCACATAAAGGAAATGATTTATTAATTCATAGAATTAATTATGTCATTAAATCATTAAAATCAATCGTGAAAATGTTACAAGGTGTACCAGGTGTAACCAGATAAACTTTAATCATCTTTTTATATTTCATACATTATTAACAAGAATTTATTGAAGATGTAACTTCACCTACAAATGTTTTTGCTCTACTGTTTTAAAAGTGGATATTTTTTAACATTAAATATAACTTTTTAATTTAGAAAAAAAAAAAAAAAATCAACATTTTTACCTGACATGCCTTTCACAGTTGGCCTTGGTAGTGAAAGTAAAGTCACAAACATGACATTGGAATGGTCGCTCTCCTTTTAGAGTTCTAAGATGTCTGATTAATGTACTGGCTTACCTGACATGCCTTTCACAGTTGGCCTTGGTAGTGAAGGCAAAGTCACAAACACGACATTGGAATGGTCGCTCTCCATTGTGAGTTCTAAGATGTCTGATTAATGTACTCTTGTCAGCACTTGAGTAACTACACAGGTTACACTTATAAGGTGACAGACCTAAATGTGTGCGGGTATGACCTGAAAAACATAAACACATATTTAAACGTTTTAAAGATAAGTTTTTCAGTGCGTAGCTAATTATTTGTTTTCATTTCTCTTTTATAAAAGTATATTTTGTTATTTCTGTTATTTTTTTTATTATTTTTTTATTTTGTGGTCTTTGTATTTATTCAGATATCAAATCTGATTTTTCTTTGTTTTTTCCTACACAAGTTTGCTTTGAACTTTTATTTTTCAAATTGGAAAAGCAAACCTGTTTCCCAATAATATATAATATTTTAAATTTTAAATTCAATATTTAACATTACAATGATGTCACAAAATACAAATTTTATAGAATATAATCTCACAAAAAAATATAAAATGACTAAAATAAAGGGAGGGTGTAAAGCAAGATGAAGGACATCCCAAAAGAGACATGAAACTTGATTTGTTGGAGCTAAATAAAAAATGTATTTTTTCAACAAGAAGGTGAGAAAAAATTGAGTACGAAAAAGTAAGAAAGCAGAGTTGACAACTGTACAACACAAATATATTGAACTAGTTAAGAGTTGGAAAAACATTTTTTACTAGAAAATAAAACAATTAAAATATAAAATCAATTAATCAATTGATCCAATTAACTTCAACTCCAAAAAATTATGCCACATTACATGCTTAAAATAAAATAAATCAAGAAACGACTGTCATGCACTTATAGGTAAAATTTCATTCATAAACAGACAGGAAGTTCATATCATATAGAATATGCAACTTTAGTAACTACAAGATCCATCATTTCATAACTTGACAAGTTTGATAAATCTGCATGCAAATGAGATGTTAATTCTCAGTTTTTACATACATAAATTAATTTCAAGCTTCCCATTATAATGCCAGCTATTTTTATTTTTTTAAATCCATTAAAATATACAAATTGCATCATTGTTTTGTTTATAGTTACCATACATCATAAATGAAAGCAATAAAAGATGACAATTATGACTTGAGGAAATTAGCTAAATAAAAAAATAATGATGCCTCCCATCTCATTAACAAAAAATGCGGTCTCCCATCAATTAAAATTAATTCACTAAAATAATGAAGCCTCCCATATCTTAAAATTCATTCACCAAAATAATCAAGCCTTGATTGATCTAAATTTCTTTAAAAAAATGAAGCCTCCCATCTCTTAAAGTCATCCATATGTAGTGGTCATTACAAGATAAAATTCTTAGTTTTACTTATAATTTGAATTTCAATTACAAATAAAATGGCCTTAATTAACATTAGCAAACTAATCTTCCTGGGTGTTAGTAATTTTTACATCATTTATCTATTTCAGATTGCTGAAATTATTTGCATAAATTTGTAAAATTACATAAGATTTACTATAGATATTTGGTTTTTATGGTAAATAATTGTTTCGCTGACAACCATACCACATCCTATTTCATTCATACTAATAGGTATTTTATATAAAAAGGTCCCCAAAAAAGCATATGCATACAGATTATATCAAGATGCGCAGAAGACCTCTGATGGGACAACAATGTTATACTTATAGACACAAAATATTACAACAATCCATTGATGCTGTATACTTACTTCTATATAGCAAATTGATAAAATATAAATACAATTATTAAAAAATGCTGTTATCGTTGTTTATCAATATAAAATACTCTTCTTGAAATATTTATGTTAGAAAATTCAACACTTGAAAATTGAAATCATGTTTCTTTTTTCCCTGTCCATTTCATAAAAAAATTGAGTAATTAATCATTTTTCTTTCTTCCCTTTAACATGTAATCTTTAAAAAAGATATCATAACTGTAAATCTGATCAATTTAAACTTTTTCAGAATATAACAAAAATAAAACATGCATACCTTTTAACGCTCTGTAATTAGGGAACAACATGTCACAGTATTTGCATGGGAATACACCTTTGTTGTTCATTTCACCGGATGATCCACTTCCACTCTCACTGCTTGGGGGCGGAGTTGGTAAGGGACTAGACATGTTTTGGCTGCTTAGTGCTGCATTCATCATCTGACTAGCGCTCATCATGGCAGCTAATGTAGGTGTCATCTGTGAAGCAAGGCTATACGGTATCATGGACGGTAAGAAGGCAGAGAATTGGTTTAGGTTGATACCATGTAGATGTTCCATACCTGGTATGGCTGGGAAGGGAGGCATCATTCCATTGGAAGAGCTCTGTATTAACTTCTGTAGTTCCGCCATGCTTTTGATTTCCTCACCATTTTTCTTACCCATTGGATGTATAGGCGATATGAAAGGTGAGAAGACCTGTCCAAGTTTTGCAAAGTAATCATTGTTTTCATTCTTTTCCATGTTCAATATTGTTTCAGACATAGGTTTCTCCTTTTTGATTTTTTCGTCTGTTGGATTTTTCTCAGCGATCAATCCAAAGCTAGCTAGGAAGTCATGTTTCCCAACCATTTCTGGTGTTCCATGACCATCAGTGTCTTCTTCATCGATGTCATCGCTATCCATTACCTCATCGAATGCTTTGTCCGCCATGTGTTTAGCCATGTGAACATGCAGTTCTTTGTTGTCAATAAAGTCACATTCACACAAAGGACATTGAGCCGTCTTTTCAGGATTGTGTGTATGAATATGCATCAACAATGCACTCTTGCACGGGAAAGCCTTTGTGCATTCTTTACATACATATTTGTGATAGTCGCTACTTGATTGTCTGACATTTTCCTCACACCAAGATTTAGCAACAAGAGGAAATTTTGTCACTGAGAAATCCATAAAACCGAGATCATGAAATCCTACAACGGCTTCTGTGAGGGGAGATTTTATGCTTTTTTCGTCATCGTCCTTAGATTTACTATGAGCCACTAATTTATGCAGATCTAATTCTCGAGTAGATTGGAATGATAGGTTGCATTGTTGACAGTTTTGAGACAGTTCTGGATGAGTTTCTAAATGACTCTGGTAACCATATTTGCACAGAAATGTTTTATTGCACACTGGACAATGTAGTTGATCCCTTTCTTCCTCTGTTGGCTGAAATGAACGAAAGCATAATTTAAGTAACAGCATTTCACAGGTGACTAAATGTCAAAAGCAGGTAAGACATATATACACAGTCAAAATCATATTGAATTCTTAAATAATTTTTTCAATTAATTATTGTCTGCCTAATAATTGTCCATCAAATAATCAATCAAAATCTATTTCAAATAAAAATCCTTATTTTTCCTCTTGTGCTTAATATTCATAAAATATTGCCGCTGGATGTTAATCTACAAATAAAACAATATCTATTTACAATTAAAAACAAATATCAGCTTTTCGTTTCCAAATCACGTTTCATCTTATTTATCTTTTTAAATTCCTATAAGAAAGTGTAACACAATGATAAAATATAGGTGACATTTGTTTCCTAAAAACAACTGAAGGAAATGAAATCAATCATTAAAATACAATTAACATATAACAGCTGGTATTACCTGTCTCACAACTACTGGTAACCTTGGTGGCTCTGGTTCCCCTTTCACTTCTGCTCTAAGTTCTGATGGTATTTTTGGTGAATCTTGTGGCACAACGAGTGGAATAAATGATGAAATAGACTGAGGTGGGAGAGCAGCATTAAACCGGCTGTCTTCCAAAACTTGACGTTTTGGAAGTGACCAGTTTGGTGAGCAATCTACAAAGTTGAATGTCCTTTTCAGACCTTTAGGTGACATGTAACTGGATGGAGTTGTTGGTTCTCCAAAGTTCAAGCCTTTTGGAGAAAATTCTCTGGATGGAATTGGAGTCGACATGTTCAAAGAGGTTCCATCAAAATCTATTGGACTAAAGAACATTGCCTTTGGCTTAAAAGTTGGAGTCTTCTTTCTAATTTTTGTTCCAAGAGCTTCAATATCGGTTTCCTTAGAGTGAATTCTCATATGTCTGTGCATATTTCCATTTGTTGTAAAAGACATTTTACATACTTTACATTTAAAAGGTCTCTCTCCTGAAAAAAATAATCTTGATTATTTCCCTTAGATAAGAAAATTGTAAAAATTACTAATGAAAATGTAATGCTTTTACTCTTTTCGTGATAAAATCTTAAGCAAACATTAGGACCTTTACAATAAAACATTAGGTCTTCTATTCAAAAATTTCTTTTTCAAGAGATAATCATCAAAATCTTAATAGAAGTTATTGCCCATGGATCTAAGATCACACATTTGACAATTTCAATTGAATTTGAGAAGTACTGTGAAAGTATTATGGATTGTGGAGTACCAGTTTTTGTGGATTTCTTGGTTTCATCCAACCAGGAAATTTAACATTAAGTATTCAAAACACAAAAATTGATGCCCACAAAGAAAATAAATTCAATAGTATTCACTTTTAGTTTTGAGCATTCTAATATTTTATCATATATCTCTGCAATGAGGCTAACACCTACCAGAATGAACCAACATGTGTCTGTCTAGTGAGCTCTGGGAACTTAAAACCTTCCCACAGATAGTACAAGTGTTAGACTGAGATGCTGCTGCGTGGGTATTGTGGGTTCGAATGTGTATGGTGAGTTCATGTAATGATGAGACTACTTCCTGGCAGATTGGACATTGATATATGGCTTCTTCCCCGTCTCCATTTAATGGTAGAATCTGGAATGGAAAAAACAAGAATCATCATGCTGGTGTCTTTATTTTTTTTATTAAATAGCATTTTTAAACATACCTTCATTTTTCGAAATACTAAGATACAAATATTCACTATCAATCTGAAAAGTATTACATTATGCATAAAAGTATTTATCAAAAAGAGCATTCTTGAAATCATTTGCAGCAAAGCAGAAATATGAAATGAATTCAAGTATTTTATTTGTATAAAAAAAATTAATTTCAATATAACCATATCATTGCAATTTTGAAGGGCAAATTAATACATACTTGCAAAATGACATAAAAGCAATCATATGCAGTCATGATGTATTAAACTTGGTTTAACACATCCTGTTTTGTCTTCCAGAATCATCTTTAGAATTGCAGCAACTACGAAACAGCTTCAACCAAAATGATATTTTTGAAAATCTTCCAATGAAGATTTAAAACAAAAGACCTAAAACAAGCTTTATTTTTACTTATATGCACTGTCAACCTACTTGCACTCTTATACATAGTTGTAAATTCATCCTCATTCATCTGTATAAATAGTAGGTTATGCAAATAAAAAAACTCCCTAATATTTGCAGGTGAAACAACTTAAACAGGCATGTCACGTCTTAAAAGATACATACAAAACTAAACAAAGAAACATTCAACAGTCTGTAACAGTTGATATAAATCATACTATGTTAAAATATCACCTTGTTATGTACCATTGTCAAAAAATTGGACTTGTCGCTGCATCATGAATATTTCATGAAACTTTCAAACATAAAGTGATGAATCTCTTCATACTTAAAATCAAAGATTGATAAACTCATTAATGTAGCATTTAATTACCACCTGATCGCCCAGGTGTGAGATCATTACCATCTCAGATATTTTATTTTTATCGTATACCGCAAGTTCTTAAAATACTTGTTTCGTGTGTTGCTCAATAACCATTATTATTATTTTAAATACTTTTTAAAAGCCATCAAAGTAAGAAATGATTCATAATCCTTTAATCTGAAGCTCTTACATCATTTCAGTAAAAGAACAAGCCATGTTGTATGTAGGATGAGAAATTCCCTCCCTACTCCATCTTTTACGGTCCATGGTCAAATATCTTTCTGCTTCATTACAGTGACATATGAAATTTGTTTGTCACATGAAATGAGACGGGAGACTGATAGGAGTCAAATATATTTTTAAATCTTATGTATAAAGGTGCAATTCAACTTAAATAGAAGTTATCTGATGTATAAATGTTCATTACAACTAATATAAAAGTCCTATATAAATATATAAGCTTTGTGTCAAGAAAATAGTTTTTTTTCTTTTTTCCTTTTTTTTTTCAAATATTTGGCCAGCACCATCAGAAAATCCATTCAGAAACTTTAATTCAAGTTAATCAGTATTTGGACATCTGAAACTTATTTAAACAAGCAGTCTGCCTAAGTTCTCGTGAGTCATATAAGAAGCCATAGAATGAATAATTACACAAATTTTCTACATATTCTTAGTACAACTTATTCCCAAATTAAAGATGCAAAACGGTATAAAATATACATGGGTGACAAAGAACTTTGTAAAGGTTTGATTGACATCCTTTTATAAAGGAGGTAATTAACCAACATATTTTTACAGATTTAATAATTGGCATTTAGAAATTTTCTGATATAATGTTTTCTGAAATTAATCAAAACAAGATTACGATGTAATTTTTAAGATGGATTTGGCATACTTAAATTACTTCACAGTTTCAAGTTAGGGCACCTTGCAGATTAAAATTCTAAATCTGAAACAATACCCTCAGCAACTTAGCAAGTTCTTGTACAATCTATTAATCCTCTTAATTCATCTATAAATATTAATCTTTTGTGCTTATTAATACTAGCTAATCCATGGATTATTGGATAATGAACAAATATGTCATGCAGATTTAGAGAATGATACTAGTGAATAAACAAGCGATGTTGAGTAAATGTCAATTTGACAACAACCCAGCAACATACATTACAAAATAAATATATCTGGAATATGCAATATGTGGTTTATAAATTGCATGTTAATTTCCACCCACAAGTCTTAACCTGATAATATTTGAATTCAATTCTGAAAAGTCAATGCTTAGTTTCAGAGGAGACTGGGAACTAAAAAAAGAAATAAAACATGCACTAAGCATGCTTACTCATGGGTACCAATTTTCGTGGATTCGGGAAAAATCTTGTTTTCTTGGTTTTGCCAAAGTCTGCATACAAGCCTATTGTGTACTTAGATTAAACATTCAAATTTGTGGTTATACTACAAAAAAAATCCACGCAAATTGGTATTCCAGGAATAAAAATGAATTCACAGTAACTCAAAATTATGATTCATATATCAAATTCACCAACTGATCACAAGTTTTGACACTAACATCACATAAAACATATTTGACCAGCAGCAAACACAATAAATTCTACTGAAAGAAAATATTGCTTCTTTCAGAAATAAGAAATAAAAAGATCAGATGAGACAAGAGAAGATATGTTATTGTCATAGCTAAAATCTAAAAGACAGATTGACCATAGCTATTATTGTTATAATAAATCTATATGTTATTCATTTATGTTAGATATGGAAACATGATTAAAAGAAAGAAGGAGTTTGTCGTTTGATTGCGTCATATCAGAAATAGAAAAGAATCAAAAATATCGTTGAGATGTTCTAAATTGATTTTATTTTTAAATACAAATTGATTGCAGTTTCAATTTAATTTACCAGTTCTGTTTCTTTATAACAATATATATATCAGAAATAAACAAATTCAAACTAACGATGGAAAACATGTAAACAATCATAAAAAGAAATAAACAACGAATGTTGCACCTACTTACATTTTTTCCACTTCAATTAATGAATATCAACGCAATCAAACAACGTAGCTTGCCAATCATGCAGGATGTACAAATAAGAGTAAGCGAATCAAAGATGACAAAATTAATGAAGCATGTCCATATTTACCTATACAAATATATGGATAATCAAAAATATATTAAGTGCTTTATCATCTGGTTTCCGCCACCAGTAACATTCATGCAAAACATGCCGTGAAATAGCCTAAAGGGGGGTAATAAGAGGACGATTATGCATTTATGAATCTAAATTCATCGTGCTAAATATACAGCGACAGACATCAATGTCCCTGCATAATTTCCATAATACCTTGTTTTCATTTTCATCATGGTTTTCATCATAAGTTGTATCGTCTTTAACGTGATTCTGAAAATAATTTCATTTTTAATTTGAATTCTAATCACATTATTTATTTTTTTTATTGTTCTCAAATATTTTTAATAGACTGGTTGCTGATGTGGTTTTTCTACATTTTTAGAACATTTATGTACAATCTTGCCTTTTTTTTGGGTCAAATTTCACAAATAAACAACACATTTTTTAAAAGACGTGAAAAAATAATAAAAAGATAGGAGAAACTGGTTTAATTTGTTAATAAAAAGTTACTGATATAAGAAAGTTAATTTTTTAAAATAAGATGTGAATCCAAAAAGTGATGTAAGCAAAGAAACACACACAAAAAACTCACTAAAAAGTGTGAACCATATGGCCATCACTGACAGACACAAGAAATTTGAAAGGCAAGGAAAAAAAATTCACACACTATTATAAATTAATCCACCACATAACCTACTCATCTGCACAAAAATAAATAAATAACAAACAAATAATTTACCTTCTTTCCTCGTCTGTGGGTTTTTGCCGCAGAAATACTTGCACTGATTGAACTAGGACTGAGCTGTGCTGAGGAAGACGGTGTCCAAGATGAATTAGATCCACTCCCGTCTAAAAAGGATGCGGTATTTAAATTTATTTCCGTGAGACTGTTATTTGCAGTAGTCACTGTATCCGTCACTGTATCCTCTACTTTATTCAATAACAGGGAACTTGTATCCTTATTCTGCTGTACTGGCACTTCATTGTCTAACTGGCCCGAGGTGTCGACAACGAGGGGACCATATTCATCAAAGTCATCATGGTCCTGCAACAAATATGACAGGTTGTAGTTATTATTAGTTTATGATTAGGGCGGATCGCAAACACACATTTCCTAACATGTCATCTTCAGCAAGCCACAGCCTATCTTAAGTGACGGCGACCAAGAAACGACTGGAGCCCGAGGCCATGTACATATTATTGCTATAGTTAACTGCTGGTAGGTAGTAACACTTTACAAAGACAAGACATTATCAGTGATAATTATCCAGTTGACAGGGTAAACAAATTGCTGACCAAAAAGATGATGTATAATTCAGGAAGAGAAATTGTCCTGAAGACAAGGAAATTGTCATCATCTATCTGTCTCATGATCTCAAAACTTGTCTTTTATCTTCAGTTACATATTGAACTTCACACATTTCTTTTTTGTTCAAATTTTATTTTAGTTTGTATTTTTCAGAAAAAAAGGATCTCGTCATGTGAAAACATAAACGGTTATTTAGAAAAAAGTTTACACACATTGTTCAAGGGAATCCGATCATTATTGCATAGTAAAAATGTCTATTTTTGGTAAAAATGTATTGTTAGGAACTAGGAAGCTATCTCAATGAAATTTGCCCCACGTTTTCTTTTATTCAATCACTGAATGTATTGTTTTAAATTCATATCTAATACATTGAGTTTAGAAGCACCCAAATTATGAAAGACTTAATAAGCTCAATGTTGAAGGTCGTAGGTTGACCTATAGTTGTTCACTACCTCGTCCTTTGGTCTCTGGTATATACTTGTCCCATTGGCATTCCTTCCTCATCTCTTAATTTTCATAGCTGCAGAAAAGTTCTTTTCAGTTTCCATTTTTGTTTTACATTTGATTACTTCTTATCAAAATAATTACTCAACTAATAAAATACATTTAAAAATAATGAAAAATCTTCTTTACATATGATGATATCATAATCAATGACTTAAGCTTCCTATCAGTTTCATGGAAATGTTGTGTAAAATGAAATCAAACCCTCCAGCAAGAGATTACAGATTGGTTGGTCACCATATAAGATGAAACTGTATCAGGAAGACAGACGTGGCCTGCAGTAAATACTGTCAATATAATCAAACATGTTCTGTCTGCCTTGGGCAAGAGACAAAATATTTGTACAACTTTAGCTTCATCAATGCATTTCTAAACTTCGAAAAAAAATTCTGATTTTATATTTTTTTAGTTCAAAAAGTGATGAAATTATTCAAAATTTTAAAAATCATAATACTCTTACTGATGAGATTCCATTCAATACTGTAATATCTCCATGAAATCCCCTATCACAGAAAATAAATAAATACAGTAAATTCCGATATTTTTTGTGTGTATTTATTTATTGCCATTGTTTAACAACCTACCAAAATGCTAAATTCATTATTGAGATTCCAGGGAATGCTACATACCTATAAAATTTAAAATGTAACTTTTTGTTGGCAAAAAAAAAGCTCTTATCCTGTTGCAATTTTCGAAATAATAATAAAAACTTTGAAAAAATTCTGAATTTACATCTACTTTCTCTTTAATAAAGCCTCTCCTGATTTTGTAACACTCTGGATTATTTTCAAATCTAGGCTTTCTAAAACTTTGGTTCTTAGCACATCCTGGTGGCAGTTAATCCTGTAAACTTGTGGTTGCAAATTTGGTATCTGATTTTTTTTAACTTGTTAGATGGCAGCAAATTTGGTATTTCTACTTTTAAAATTAATGAATTTATTTAAGATTCCCTCAAAACTGCTGGTGAATTACTAAAGGAATGTATGAATCATAAAAACTGGAAAAAGTACAATTTTATTACATTTGTTCCCGAGGGCAGAATCACATACCAATAAACCTCTATTGATCTTCATCAATTATCTTTTTACTGCTGTTTGGATAGAAACAATATTTGGAAAATCATTTTTGTCAGGGTCTCAATTTTGAAGTTGAAAAATTGGAATTACCTATATGTAGGACTGCACACACCTCCTACAAAAAGTGTTTTTCAAATATCTTTCAATTTATTAAAGTTTTCAAACAAGAAAATTGCAGACATTTTTATTTAGATATTAGTCTTTATGCTTTTTATGTCATACATTAAGAGTCATCACATAATCATAACCAAAAATATTTGACAAGGAAATGGGGGCCATTAACAGTCTACTGTATTTTGACTTCAATAAAAATCGTGTTGCATTTGACAATTTCAAAGGATCCTAGCATCCATTTATAAATTTCTTGATCCTACTTTCTAAACCCTGATGGAAAAATTAACTGATGAAAAGAATTAATATCCTTAATCACATTCATCTTTTAACGGGTCCTGCATCATGTACTTATATATTTCGTAATGTGATATCCTCGGCTACATTTCACCGAGTTCATGACACCAACAACAGCATGCTTTAACATCTCATGCAGATCTGTTTTTTAAGATGTTTTTCGAATGCTTATGAATTACATTGAAAGTAATACATCCTGTATCATAAAATCAAGGGGTTCATAAAAACTTACGGGTGTGGATTCTGAGAATCAAATTAGACCAAATATTCATTATGAATTAACAGTACTTTTATAAAATACTAAATTAATGATTTAATAGGCAGAGGATTGGCTGAAAAATATTTTACAGAATCTTTCGGCTAATGCATTCGACTCATTAAAACCTCATAAGCTGTAAAATCCTGTTATTCAATTTCAGGAATATTTAAACTTCCTAGATGATATTAATTTTTTTGGCATGGGTTAATCGCTAATTTATTTTTGGCGTTTGATTTGTAGGATCATTTTCTATTTTTGAATAAAATTGTTTTACGTCGAGTATTTTAGACTTGAAAGACAAAATTCAACCCATGGAGCTCCTCTTTCATGTCTCATCTTCATCAGTTTACCTGTCTCTTAGATTGCTGAGTAACGACAGGTGTGTGAATAAATAAGATCAACTTTACGTCTTTTTCAAGATAGGTACTTCAAGTATGTAAAAAATGGACTTTTATATAAGTAATAAATTATTTAAACAAGTACGTATAGAAGTACTTATCCCAACTTTTACATCCACTTATTAATCATAAATTGATGTACAGGGATGTACGGAAACAGGATATTTTGTAACCAAATCCATGAGCTAGAGACCAATGGAGAGATTTTAAGTTGTTTAAATAGAGATGAAATTAACCACTTTTTGCATTAAATGACTGAAAATAGTAACAATCCGTCATGTGAAACTTATTCCACATCATTCTGACGTCGGCAAGATTTGACAAGAAATAAAACTGATATATATACATGTGCTTTACAAATTTACTTTTGATCTTATCAATAACTGTTTCTTCTTTGGATACAGGTAACGATCTGACATGTTTTATTATTCAGATTCTGATGAAATTATCTTTGCTGGGGATTAATTCCAAAAATTGTATTAAATTTCAAGTATTTCTATCAAATATTTTGAAAAGATCATCTTAAATGCATCCGGGAGTATGAAGTTTCTTTTAATCTGATTGATGCTGTATTTTTCTCACTTTTTCTGTTTAAATTCTAAAGTAAATAAATCTTTTTAATTTGTTAATAAAATTCACAGCTTAGAAAGATAAGAAATTAAAGTTTGTCAAAAAAAAATCTCGCCTTTAATTTTGTCAGTGATGGACAGACAGAAGGGTAGGATAAAAACAATATGTCTGACAACATATGTAAGGGAAAATTATATTGCTATACCAAAGAGTAAATATATCAATCCTTAGTTTCCTTATTTTTCCTTTTAAAACACTCTATCTTATATCTTAGACCAGTAGTAACTTGAAACACATTTTTTCAGTCAGGGCTCCACAGAGGAACTTGACACCCAGCATAATTTCTCATACTACTCCTCTTTTTAACATCAATTGTGACATTATCAGAAATATGGCATGTTAATATAACATTGTGAATCTTTAAATATGTTTTTTTTGTACTTAGACTGAAATTGAAAGAAATTTAGATTTCAGCTGATGGAAAATGTTGACTATTATCCTTGTAATAACTAATAGACATGCCAATAGTTCAAAAATAAGTTTGATTGAAGTGTGAGTATTTAATTTGTCGCTGAAATTTACAACTACAAACATCGCACCTTGACCCTAACTAATTACCCAATTTGCTGATATTTTAAATTAAAGATTTCTCAATGCATCATGCAATTTTACAATGTTTTGCAAAATCTACGTCTCACGTCTTCTGTATAAAAAGCCATGACAGGAGCCAAATAATTTTAATTGATCGCAAGATCATATCGGTACAAACCAAAATGTTTTCACATCATGTTATTCGATTGTAACCTTATAAAGGAAGTTGACACTATCATCTCAAAAGTTTTGAATGAAACTCAAATAAATCATCAACATTCTCGCCCAGGACGGAAATTGATGCCTTGGGTAAACGCAACGTTTATTTAGTTCCAATCAGTACTCAATAAACGTCTCCTAGTTACTTGGAACAGTTTCACCAAGGACAAGTGGGGTTACGGTATATGTTTGATAACTCTCAAGTCTATTCCTGCTCTTTTAAATTGGTCACATCATTTTCATCGCTTTTCAATTGCTTTTCAATGAGAACTTAATTGATGTGTATGGGTAAATATACAATAAAAACTCAAGAGCGATACCCTTGCACAATGTGGTACGTGAATGAATATCTATTGTTAATGAGGAGATCAACATCCTTTTAATAAACATCACTTTTTATCATATTTTGAAGTAATTACAGACTTTATCTGAAGGTTAAATAATACATAGATTGTATCAATTTAAAATATTAAAATTTATTTTTGGCCTCTTCATTTCTCATTTACTGATGAATTTTTGAAAAAAATCTTTTGACAGATAGTTCGGTTTCATTTTTCAAAGAATAAAAGGACAAAAATGAAAGTGATTTTGCCATTTTAGATCATAATTAATTAATAGAGTGAAATTTTGTATGAAAAAGGTTCACTTAAGAACTAGTTAGTATTTGGTACAGATATCGCCTACAGATGAATAAGAATTGTCTCCCGGGATGTAAACTTACGATACGTGTCATGTTTTATTTCTCCTAGTATGGGTACAACTGTCGAAGGCTGAATTTTTTCTTCTCTAAAGAAGGAATTTTGTACCTTTATAGTCTAAATTATCAATGACGAAATAGAGTTCCGGCAGTTTCGTTAATTTAAAAATTTCTTTTCCTTTACTTAATGACCTTTTTGTTCATTAACTTTTAAAACAATAGAGATTGCAATGAAAATTATTTTTCATAATATTTTCCTCATCATGAAGAAGTGATTTTCTGTGAAAATCAAGATAAATATCTTTATTCATTTTTATGACAAAACTAATAGAACAAAAACTTTTTAACAGAAACAATACCTGTCAACTGAAACAATTTTTATGGAAAACAAGTAACATTACTGAGGACAAAAAAAAATTAACATATATGATTGGATAATAAAAATTTTGTGTCTAAATGATAAACATAAATAATCATAGCACAAAAACAAAAGACAGTACTATTTTAGCTTCAAATATTTATGACTCATCGATCATCCTATTCCCACATCCTAAAAACATCACTGTGGATAACACAATACACAAAAAAATCGTAAAACAATGATTCATTTTTATGTCTGCATAATTTGTGTCTCTTATCATAATGACATATTAACAAATAAAATATTGTCGTATCAGTATCCTTTGCTGAGGTTTATGAATATATTCAATTATGTATGCAAATCAGCCAACCCAGACACGAAAATCACATCTTGTATTGACAATACCCGTCAAATGTTCCTTTATCTTCGTCTATTTACTAGACGTTCAACTCGAAACTATTGTTTAAATCTTTTGGCAGTGTTTGAAGCTTCTGCAGCCTTATATAAAGCTTGATGGTAAATGATAACTTCAGGTGATTTAATTAAATTTAAATAAACTTAGGATGAGACGGTTTACAATAGGTTCCCAGGAAGAATAATACACTATCCTATCAGTGGATAAAAGATTCAAATTATGTGTGTGCATCGATCTACAATCAAATTTCAGCACTATGGCATTTGATCTACGTAAAATGTATAACATATAGCGATTATGTCATTTAACTATTATGTAAAGCATGTTTTGTGTTCTTAACAAATTCCGATTTTTTTTGTTTAAATTTTTAATGATAGCCTGTAACAGAGCTTTAGAATACATTTTTAAGTATTCTGATTTTTAAACAGAAATGATAATTTATCTTTACATTTATATCTGCCACTGGACATTAAACATGCAACTAAACAATCAATCATTTAAAATTTCAGTCAAATTCTGATTTACACGATTAAAAAGGATGATAGTGCATTTATACAGAAATGAACTCCGAATGGAATTAGTTGAATTTAGCTATTACCATTTTAAAAAGAATTTTGATCATATAAAATGAAAACCCTTTCAATGCAAGCTTTCATTAATAGTACATTTACAAAGAATGATTCAAAAACACATTTTAAGAATTATTCATCAAAATAACATTTCCAACCCTATTTATGTATGACAGCATCATTATCATTCCAAGCTTTTCATAAGATGTTTGACAAACCCACCAATTTATCAACCTACTTTTAAATTTAATCATAATTCAAATTTTTGATATTAAATTATTATTCTATTTAGTTTGAAATATCAAATTTCACTTAATTTATTGATAAGGGGAGAAGGACTTCCATCAAGTTATCGAATTTACTTTATTTGATGAGGACCACTCCATCATGTTTAATTTCGGCCATGTTAAAAGCCCCCGTTATCACCTGGTGACAACAATTACCTATACATATTTTTCTTTCAATATAGAATCTTTGAAATGTTCAAGACTACATGAAATTAAGGTAAAAATCAATTTGCACAACAAATATATACACCTTAAGAGCTTTGTCCATGGGATTGAGTTTGCAACAATTACTTCAATGAATTGAAAATCGTTCAAGTGTCAAAACGATAACTGTAAATTCTATTCAACCAATCACTCTGTCAAAATATACTTTGATTCTAAAAGCATGCTACAACATATTTAAGTGGACAGCCTCAGGCTGATGCTTAAAATGACTACATTGTGTAACTTTCAATTTCCAGATGATACAGGAAAGACCATAAGGGTGATTAGGTCCACTATGGGAGTCCAGTTATTATGTCAACATGATAGGATTAAAATTTCAATACCTTTTATATTATATATTTTGACTCAGGTGACGAGAATAAGGCATTTATAAGTAGCCTTTCATCTTAATTTGGATGAAAACAAATCAATAGTTAAAATTTTGTATAAACAATTTCTTATAAGACTCCTAAAGATGATTCAACAGGCTTTTAATAACATCATTTTCTGTTTTTAATTGTAATGAATTTATCACGGAGCTCAGAACCATGACCCTTTATATATTTACTGTTAGACTTAAAAATTTCAATAAAAGCATTTACTTTTCATATTGCTTCTGAAACTATTCAATTAAAGTGCCTTATTGAAGTAATTTCTTAAAATTTACGACATCTCATATTTTGTTGTTTTTACGATTGAACTGAAAATAAAATAAATTGCCTTAAAAGTCACGTTTTCACTTAAAAGATTTTCAACATACAAGGAAATTTCAAAACAATAAATATGAAAAATATAGGAAATAGAAATTTGGTTAAAGTTAAAAAAACTTTTTTCATAAATATCAGCTTCCTTCTGCTCACATAAATGTTCATTTTTGCTGACACAGTATCTTAATTAGCGTTGCTACAAATATGCTTATAAGAGCATCTCAAAGTCAAACTAATAAACTGTACAATTTTTTTTCTCTAGTTGAATCCTACCACATAAGTACGATGTAACTAAAGTATGCAAAAAAAATGTGTCACATGATTACTTTGTAGAAATTCATTACATTTTTAATCAAAGCATGGAAATAGGTGTTTAATTATGTCTGACACATGTTTGAGGCAGATACATGTTGTTAGAGGCAGATACATGTAACTTCACTGTTACTTCAGGTATAGGTAAAAATATGGTAAATTTCTTTTTTTCATCAATCATTTTAGACAAAGAGCCATGCATGTTACTGATTGCCCACTATTTAGACTATAACCCTTAATGTCGTCCAGCTGTATATACCTGGTCACTTTCTTCTGGTTCATCCTCTGTATATGGTCTGAAGTGGTGGTCATTAACTGGAACAGCAACTACTTCATCTTCTTGAACTGGAAATAGAAAGCATAAAATTTGTATCAAGACTGAAGCTGGGTAGGATTTACTCGCACAATTGAATTTTTTTTTACAGCACTGATGCAGTAAAGAGTTTTCTATTTCAAATGGTCAAAAGAAGGGCAATGATGCTGCATACATCTTGCATAGAAGTTTACAATCAATGCTACATATTGTGATATGTTAATACATGTAGTTGAGAAAAACGAAGGCTCAAAGTTATGTGCTATCATTCCTCAAGACTACTGGTCATTGGATTAGGTCCAGTCAAAATTTGTTTTTTGGGTTCTGCTTCTTTACTGGATAAAATAATATGCAAGAAGAAAATAACATTAAAAATTTTGCCTGAAAAAGCCCACGCAAAGCACTGCTTGGTCCATTGATGACTGGATATTTACTGAAGCACATGTCAAGCAAAAATCCACGTCCTTCTTAATAAATAGAGGTAACTGTCCTGCAAGATCGTTCTTCCGTTATTTGTTATTGTCTCTATGTGTTTATTGTCTATTTATAGAATTTAGTTTTTAAGTTCTTAATATTTTCTGTCATCTCAGTTGAGTTATTTCAAGACATGTAATTTTGTAAGGTCATCCAGAAGTGTGAGTACAAGGATACCAAATTATAACGTAATTATCATACTTGTGCACACGTTCTCTACTTATGCAACTAAATTATGAAGTTACATGTATGCACATACCGGTATATATTTTGTGGTTTGTAAAACAAGGACCTTTTAATCATTGAAACCAATGGTGACCTCATGACATTCATTTCTCGATACCATTAATTGTTGGGTTTCCGCCTTTGTGACATTAACCCCATATACAGATTAGTAGGAACTATGAATATTTTAAAATTTTGTATTTCAGCCATGTTCAGACTTTTTTATGTTATTTTTCACCTTTAAAAAAATATCGTGTCATTAACATTTCAACATCCCTCTTTTATTCAAATATTTTCTCATAAAATACCAATGCCTGTTGTGAAATACCTATAGTAGCAAACTGATAAATATTATTAAAACCGATTTGGCTTTATTAAATACAGAACGTTTTACCAATAAAATCAATAATTCTTTTTCCTGAATCACTGCTAAGTATCATTAATGCTTTTTCTTAGTAATGCAAACATCCTTATATCAAGACCGGGTACACTTTAATGCTTTTATGAAAATTTTATGAGAAAAATACATGACGAGACTTAGCAGGATTGAAGAGGTTGCGGTCCAAAGTAATTCATAAGAAAAACTCCATCTATTTACAATTTATGAGACCCAACATCTTCTAAAGTATTAACCATTACAAAGCTGAATAAAGAAATTGTAAAGACATGTATAAATATTTACAGATCTGTTTAAATTTAATGTATTTCAATGGTTTTCCCAACATCATACATTTATCAACAGAAAAAATCTTTAATGTGCTTCAATTTTCTTATAGAACAAAATGCTGTGTCAAAAATGTTTAATATCGGCCTTTGATGAAGACATAAATAGTTAATTTTATGGTTTTGGATGGTATGAAGTGCTGCTCATGATCAGAACAAAAAAAGATTTTTGTAAAATTTAGATATGGCTACTTAACCTTTTTCAATATTAAATTTTTGAGATGATAGATTTTAAACAATGTGCTTCTATGATTAAGGAATTGAAAAGCAAATGTATAGTTTTGTATTTAAAAAAATCTTATCTACTAGCACCAGAATGACAAAAAATTTGGATAGAAACCTAATTTCAATGCAACACAGTTTGTATTGTTTATCCTGATTGGATAATGCCACAACTTTCAAGGCATCAATTAAAAGATTGATGATAAATTCATCAATGTTGTCTTCAAATTCAATACCGTTATATCCTAATTTGATGAGTTATGCATCATACAAAAATAAATGTACTGAATAATGGTCAAAGTAAAAACTTTCAATTATCAAAATCACTGACCAAAAGTTTAGATTCTTGAAACCTTTTGAAACGTATACAGTTGAAATAGCTCATTTTCTTTAAACTGTAGCAAGCAAATAAAAAGTTATTAATTTTGACTTTTGAAATTGTGAACTTGTTCTCTCTATATATACAAATGTAGGTATATCATTAATTGCTTTCTTCATTGAGAACATGTAGATCAAAATCTTAAGATGGTATATAGGTAGACTTAAAATAGCCATAAAATATTTGTCACATCATCAATACATGTATTAGAACACTGTTTTATGGATCGGGACAACATAAAAAGCATCCATTAATGGCAATGATGTCCAAAAAACATATATTTGCTATTTCTGCAACAATAATTGTTGGATCAATCAAATCCTAGCCTGCAGGCTGTAAAGAGATGCTTGACCTTGGATGACAAAGGTCATGCCATAACAAATGTAAACAAGTAAATAGGGAGACAAAGAAGCCAGGTAAATTCAATTTGCATGCCGACACAGGTGTGTCATAAACACTGATGTTGAGTTCTTGGTCAACATCAAGTACAATAAAAGCAATGTAGACCAACATCAGTGTGATAAAAGTTAACAACTTGACGTCAATGGATTCTGAGAACAAAAATCAATTTCCGAGAGAAAATGTCGGCAAACAAAGTCAGCAAAATGTTTTCTTTATATCAAACAAATATGGTTAAATATTTAATGAAATTATTTTATGTCTTTGTATGACATTTGTTTCTTTTAAGGTGATACCGAAGAAAAAGAAAATTGATTCTAAATACTAGAAGCCAATTAACATCAAAATTTTCTTTTATCCTTTTTCTATGAAGGCAACTGACTAAATAAACTTTGGTGGCGACTTAGCATCTAGGTGGATAACAATGTCTTGACTTACAATCAATTTTTATGATTCTTCTACTTAAAAGAAAGGAACGCCCTCATCATCCCAGTTTTAACCCATGAATACAGTTTCAAACAGTTCATCACGTAAACGCCTATCACTTCAACAAACATGGAAAATAACAAGTTTCTTTCAAATAGCATCTCTTTGTCCCAACTTTATTATCATAAAAACTTTGAAATAAAGAAGTTTAAATATATGTAATGGAATATGTTCCAGTTATTGCAATTCTTTTAGGATGTTCAAATATTTTAACAAATTCTATACTTTTTTCCCATTACCTACAAAATTAACAATGATGGCATTTATTTGTTCGTGATCCTTGATCTTCTAGTGAATTCAATTAACTTCAAGTTCTGGTACTGAGACTCTAAACTTTTATTCGTTTGTAGTGAATTAAAAAGTTTTGAGATGAAGCAATAACATTTTTGCCTTATAATTAAAATCGTCTAATTCTATATCATAGATTTCCAAAAAGTTACAAACTCGAATTTAAAATCTCGAGATTCAATCCAAAATTTAATTACAAGTCAGGGATAATTTTTTTGTAGGCTATTATCTTGATAAAGTATCCATATATGAATTGTATAACAATCGTGTCTATGTATCAATTGTTCAGACCATTTTAGATGTTTAATAAGACACTATATAATAACATCTTTAGGTTTAACGTTACCCACTGAGACATATTTCAATACATCATTATTAAATGCTTTTTTCATTCCTAAACAACCAGAAAAATATCCCTATATTCATCACTGTAGCTATGAATACAAAGGTCATAATTTTTGGCAATTGGAGATGGTATTGGGTTTAGGCGTATTTCAATGGATGCTTAAAGAGCCCATAAAGAGGCTAAAATCGTTACTGATAACCCCTCCTATCTACCCATAATCAGTACCAGCTGACGCTAATCCAACCGTGCTGATGAGAACACAGCCAGATGAGGTGACCCCGATAAGGGTTTATTTAACCGACAAAGGGGATAAGAAGTCGTAGTATCTGAAGCTTTTAAGAAGATTAGAAAAGAAGTTAAATAGTACGAATGACTAATACCAGGAAAATGTACATTTAAGGAAATGCCTTGTACTATTTAAACAAAGCAGAACATTGCTGAAACAAAAATTTTCTTCCGAGATTCACATTTTCATTCAAATCACAAATTCAAAAGATGAAAATAATAAGGGTGTTTATCATAGTTCTTTATTGTTTCCAACACAAAAGTATGAAAACCAAAAACAAAGATGATACAGTATTACCTCATGATTTTACGGAAATCAGAATTGTAGCAATTTTTTTTTTAAAAGTCATTTTTCTTTAACATGCATTTCATTATCAATAATGAAAAAGATAATTTTTTTTAGCCTAGTTTCCAATTTCTAAAATTCAGTACATGAACATTCATTGTACTTGTACTCATTAATATTTATAGAAATGGATACTTTTACATTTTATTTCAAAAGATAATTCTTCCTTAACATACATGAAATATTTGCCACTGAAAGGCAAGCAGCCTTCAATCAATCAAAAGGAAATAAATAAATGCACATTAAAGCCACCAGTAATTGACAAATCCTCCACTGGACCTTGTAAACCAAACACCTGACCACCCCATTACCATTATATTTACAGAGGACTGCAAAACCACATCATAAATTGCAAAAACAAATCCAGCATTTTATTTTAAATTGTGTTATATTTGAGGTTATTACTCTGCATTCAGTCTTACATCATGACCATACACCAATTTGTATGCAATTATATATTTTAAGTTCTAAGAAAGAGTGTTCTGACCTTCAAAAACCTTCGACGGAGTTGCTGATGACAGAAGATGACATTTAATAGTTATATATATTGTTACAGCAAAAAGTTACCAATGATTGATAGTGTTACATCTTCCTCTTGGCAAGTATGCAAATCAGCTCATGACTTGTCTATTAAAGTCCCTAAAGGATGACAAATTTAGCATCCTGGGAAGATAGATGTGGCCATCGCTTTCTTCTGTATTCAAATCAAGTTTTTAAAGAATTCATTAACATTAACTTTCTCCTCATGTACTTATTTTCTTGTAGGTGTATCTATTAAGAGTAAAAACATAATATTCTTGGAAGATTAATTTCAAAATTTATAAAGTTCAAGAAATATGAATCCAGGAACATGAAAATG